TTGGTTAAGTTTTAACCTAAGCTGGTAAAAATAACCTTAGGAGGTTTTCATGCAGGTCCCCACATCTGTACCCTAGAGTTCAGAGTGGGGAAGGAAACTTGACACGCCCTTATATGCCACAGGTTTAACATGTCCCTATCCCCACTTTCACGTCACAGTTGTACTGGTAGTAACCCACTTGATGAGCAAACGCTACAGTATTTTGGGCAATGCAGGGATCTTCAGCTTAGGTAAAAAGTGTTGCTGCAGAGTAAATGGGGGAAACTAAAAACACAAAAGAGTAAAGCTCAGAGAGAGAGAAGCAACCAGCTTAACCATAAGTTATTGAATAAGTGATAACTACACAAGGAGAGCCTAAACCAACGTAACAGTTACATTATTAAAGGTTAATACCTGAGGTAGAAAAGAAAACCGAGAGAGAGATCTTACCCACTCCATGGAGCTTGAACTAGTCGGGGTTCCCAGGTGATGGGTGGTAGCTCAGGGTCCTGAGTGCTGGAGACAGGCAGAGGCCCCAGCACGATCAGTCAGGAGATGGAGTCCCAGTGAAACTGATGCAGAGTTTGGGTCCATGCATCAGAACACTTACTGGAGGGTGAGTAGGGATTTTTGTAGAGAAAATACAATGGTTCAAGGGAAAACACGAGACTTGTTTATAGGTAAACTGATGACTCAAGGGTTTTCTTTAAGCTAGACAATAGGAGCTGATCATAGAAGATCAGGGTTGGAAGGAACCTCAGGAGGTCATCTAGTCCAACCCCCTGCTCAAAGCAGGACCAATCCCCAACTAAATCATCGCAGCCAGGGATTTGTCAAGCCGGACCTTAAAAACTTCTAAGGAAGGAGATTCCACCACCTCCCTAGGTAATGCATTCCAGTGTTTCACCACCCTCCTAGTGAAAAAGTTTTTCCTAATATCCAACCTAAATCTCCCCCACTGCAACTTGAGACCATTACTCCTTGTCTTGTCATCCGCTACCACTGAGAATAGTCTAGAGCCATCCTCTTTGGAACCCCCTTTCAGGTAGTTGAAAGCAGCTATCAAATACCCCCTCATTCTTCTCTTTTGCAGACTAAACAATCCCAGTTCCCTCAGCCTCTCCTCATAAGTCATGTGTTCCAGTCCCCTAATCATTTTTGTTGCCCTCCGCTGGACTCTCTCCAATTTTTCCACATCCTTCTTGTAGTGTGAGGCCCAAAACTGGACACAGTACTCCAGATGAGGCCTCACCAATGTCGAATAGAGGGGAACGATCACATCCCTCGATCTGCTGGTAATGCCCCTACGTATACATCCCAAAATGCCATTGGCCTTCTTGGCAACAAGGGCACATTGTTGACTCATATCCAGCTTCTTGTCCACTGTCACCCCTAGGTCCTTTTCTGCAGAACTGCTGCCTAGCCATTCGGTCCCTAGTCTCTAGCGGTGCATTGGATTCTTCCGTCCTAAGTGCAGGACTCTGCACTTGTGCTTGTTGAACCTCATCAGATTTCTGATCACTCTTGGCTATGAGTGGTTTCTTCCAGGGAGCTTACAATGCAACTAAGCTGCTTCAGTATTCTTGATATCAATCAAGGATTTATTACTAGAATTGGTCTGATATCTGCTGATCTGGGTGTATGCAGGCATAGATTCATTAACATCTGGAGCAGAGATCCCCATGATGCAGTGCTTCCCTGCTTTTCTGGTCCCAGAGTTCAGTGCAGTTCTCTGTTCTCCATTCTACATGCAAATGGAGATGTCTTAATCTTGTCACCCTTGTCAGGAGGGGTCTAGGTGTGTCTCCCAACGCCCTTCACTGCTCTCTGCAAGGCTTTTCTCTGATCAGTTTTGGTTCAAGCAGTGGCTGGTGGTGGGGTGGGGGGTGTCTTTCATGAGTCAGACAGGCTAGATACTGCACCCTGGTTCCCCAAAAACACAGAGCTGACTGGTATCACCTGGATGTGGGAATCTGAGGGCAAGGAAAAAATCCTTAAACAGGAGTTCATATCCAAAAGAGGGAAATGTTGGTGCTTGTCTTCATTATGGAATGTTACCATGCTTGAAAGAGACAAGGTAGATGAAGCAATCTCTTATTGGACCATTTCTGTTGGTGAAAGAGACAAGCTTTCGAGCTTCACAGAGCTCTTCAGGTCTGGGGAAAGTAACCAGAGTGTCTGAGCTAAATACAAGTTGGAACAAATGAAGCATAAAGGTCTCTCTCATTTTTGTAGACCATTTAAAATTAAGTGGGCCATTAAGGGTTAGCGGGCAGTGTTACCAATTGTAATGAGCCATAAAACTAGTGTTTCTGTGTAGTCCATGGTTTTTAGTGTCTAGCAGTTAAGAATTTAAGTTCCCAAGTTTATCTTTTGAGGTGGTGTTGTGAAGGTTGCCTTTGAGGACAAGGACTGAGGACAGATACAGAATGACTGCTTTGTGGAAAGTGCTTGCCCATGAGTGATGTGGTGGTTTTTGTCTCATTTTTCTGTGAGTTAATTTGCGAGTGTTGCAATTGTCTGGTTTCACCCACATAATTGTTTCTGTGGCATCTGATGCACTGGCTGAGGTACACCACATGTTGTGATAGTCATGCGTAGGACCTAGGGCTCTTGAGAGTGTGTTGGGGGGAGGAGTATTGATCATCATAACAGTGGAACTGTCTGCAGGTTTTGCCACACACCTCTGGGGAAAAAATCACAACACCAAGAATCATCACAAATGCTACAATGGGTTTCTCAAACTGGGGTCCACAGACACCTGGGCGGCCACAAGGATGCTCTAAGGGGCACACGAGTCCTGTCTGGGGCTGCCAGCCCCGCTAATCAATTCTTTCCCCGTCTCTCCCAGTGCCTCCTGTGTGCTGTGGAACAGCTGTTGAGTGGTGTGCAGGAGGTGCTGGGAGGGTTGGGTATGAGCGGGATGGGGCCTGCTCGGGGGAGGGAGTGGAAAGAGGTGGGGAAGAGGAGGGGCAGGGGTAGAGCGGGGGCAGGAAGAAGTGGGGTGGGGGCAGGGAGGGCCTGGGGCTGAGCAGGACTTTTGGGGGTCTGCACAAAATTTTAAATCAAAATGGGGGCCCCTGAGTTGCTAAAGTTTTTGAGAACCGCTATGCAACAAACACCCCAACCTATCAAGACTTCCTCTAACTGGAACCAAAGTATCTGTACTCTTTTGAAGTTCACAAGACTGAACTTTTGACCCATCACACAACCTGATAATGTTTGGCTTTGTAGTGATGAGCAGGTGTAGAAATAGAAGCAATTCTATTAAATATATAAATACACAAAAATGAAAATAGATTAAACACACAATGAATTTTAAATTTTATTACTGAAATGTTTGTCACAATATAGGGACCATACTGTTCCATCAGTTCTTAAGGTGGTGTTCAGCTTAAAAACTGATGGAATGATACAGCCCTTAAATTTTACATATTGTAACACATTTTTCCTTAAGTTTTTTGCTGGAATGATCTACAGTGCAAGCTTGTGCGCAATTGAATGATGTTCCAATTTAATTAAAAATCACACAAATTAACTGAACATGCTCTAACTCTGCTTAGATAGACTTCCATACTAATACCCCTCAGCACCATGATGTGTATGACAGTTACTAAACATTCAGAAGTTTTTGGTTTTTGTCTGATTTATATATTTTTCATAGCATAAAAGAAAGGGTAAAATGCATTATGCAGTAGTGAGTGTATTCTTCTGCTCTCATTCAGAGCCCCAAAGCTTTCTGTAATGCTTGTGTGGGTTCAATAAACTATTGCATTACCTTCTGTAATCAATAGGCACCAAGGATATTTTTCTGGCTAAATCAAATGTGGCTTTTCTGACTTTGTCAGACTTACTATGTGACTTTGAGCAAATCGTTTAATCTCTCTCTGCCTCACTTTTTTCATCTGTTAATTGGGTATAATTGTATTTACCCTCGTCACAAGTGTTTGTAAAAACACTTTCAGCTTAAAGTGTAAAGTAACGTTATGTAGTCTGTCCACAATACAGCTCCATCCTTATCAAGACTTTGTCTGCGCTGTTTTTAAGGGACTGCATTATGTACAATAATCTGAGTCCAATGGCATTGGAGTAGTAAATGCTGGCGGCTTGGTTCATTGCTTCTGTTGGCATCTGATCAGATAATAAGTGGGTAGGACTAGCTTGTGTTTTCCTTAGTTCTGTATGTCGACGTCCAGCTTTTGTAAGGCTTGCTACTGCATCTTTTGATATTGTATTTTCAATGCTATAACAAAATACCACTCTTGTATATAATGGTGCTACCCCCTCTCTTAACCTGTGTTCTACAAACCACTCGTCAGCAGATAGTTGGTTGCTATTGCAACTAAAAAAGTTAAATGCCTAACCAAATGGCTCTAGCCTGGTCTAGTATTCCTTGAAGAGCAAGTTGGTCTTTCTGCAGCGCCAGCTCCCCCTGGCTCGCGCTTTCCGCGACATGTTTTCGAAATCTTAGCGATGCTGTTGATTTCCAGCCTGCAGAGCGATTTGGGAAGGGTACTTTCCGTGCGCCCTCCCTTGCGAGTGCGCAACCCTGTGTGGGCTAGCAGGGTGGAGGACAGGAGGCTGGCCGGGCGGCCAGGGGAGGCAGGGCCGGGCAGGGTTACGGTACGGTGGATGGGGAGGGAACCGCTTCTCCAGCTCGGCCGGTTTCTCCAGCAGGAGCAGCAGTCTCCCCGCAGCGCAGGGGACCGGCCCAGAGAGGCACCGCGAAGGGCGGGGGGCGGAGCGGCAGGGGGAGGCCGATGCGAACAAACTAGTCGCTGCTAGCTGCGCTCCCCCAGCCTGCGCCCCTCCGCGCCGGAGCTGGCAGAGTCCCCGAGGCGGCCGGGGGCGCGGGGCGGCGCTGGCTCCCTGCAGCCCCAGCAGCATCGCCGGGAGGCTGCGCTGTGCGCTGGCTGCTCGGGGCCGGGCAGGGTGACGGGCTCCCGGAGCCCGGGCGTTGCGCAGCTCCACCAGCCTCACTTGGCAGCCGGGACCCGCTTCCCGCGCGGAGGCGGTGAGGGGCCGGGGGGCCGGGCACTGCGCTGCCCCGCCGGAGAGGAGGGGCCGGGCCCCGGGCGGCCGGGGCTAGGGAGGGCGGCCGCGGCAGAGGGCGAAGCCGGCAGGAGGTGAGGCTGGGCGGCCGCGGCAGAGGGCGAAGCCGGCAGGAGGTGAGGCTGGGCGGCCGCGGCAGAGGGCGAAGCCGGCAGGAGGTGAGGCTGGGCGGCCGCGGCAGAGGGCGAAGCCGGCAGGAGGTGAGGCTGGGCGGCCGCGGCCGGGGGGCCGGGCACCAGGGGGGCTCCCCGGCTCGGGGCCCCGCAGCGGGGCGGATGGCTGCGGGCAGCATCACCACCCTGCCCGCGCTGCCCGACGACGGGGGCAGCGGCACCTTCCCCCCGGGGCACTTCAAGGACCCCAAGCGGCTGTACTGCAAAAACGGGGGCTTCTTCCTGCGGATCAACCCGGACGGCAGAGTGGACGGAGTCCGGGAGAAGAGCGACCCGCACAGTGAGTACCAGCCTCTCCCCCACCCGCTTCCCATCCCTGCCTCCCACCTCGCCCTCTGCACCCCCTGCCCTGCCAGCTCCCAGGGGCACAGCCTGGCTACTCCAAGGGCTACCGGCTGCCCCCTCCCACCTATACACCGTTCATGGCACGTACCCACTGCGCCCACTCCGGTGATACCCTCACCCACACTCCCCTCCTCAAACCTGCCTAGCCCAAACTCCTCGCTGAAGGTAAAATCCTGGCTTCATTGACAACAATGGCAAACTCCTATTTCAGTGGGGGCAAGATTTTACTCTAGGTCTCAAACCTATTCCTGTTACCTTCCTATCCTCTGGATCTGAGGGCATAACTATGAAGACCTGAGTTCACTCCTACTTTGGTCACAGAACTGCTGTGTGACCTTGGGTAAATCGCTTAACCTCTGGGCTTCTTCACATTAGAGAATCTTACTGTGTTTGAACAGGATTGGGAACATTTGAGTTAATGACACTGTCAGGACCAACAAGGAGTCCGGTGGCATCACCGGACTCCTTGTTGTTTTTGTGGATAAAGACTAACACAGCCACCCCCTGATACTGTCATGACCATGACTTTGCAGTCTAAGTGTAGACTAGCTTAATTCAGGAATGTGGGGGTTTAACCGTGGCTAGCTGATAGGGTATCTCATCCTGGACTACACCAGCTGCAAACTGTAGTCCGTATTTTGTCTAATTTGAATGCTCCCAATCCTATTCAAGCACAGTAAGATGTTCTTGCATATACAAGTTTTCTGCCTGTCTTTCCTCTGTCTCTGAAATGGATAGAATAACACTTGCCTACTTCAAGTGTTAAGTTTTAAAGCTAGTAACATGAGATACTTAAAGTATTTATTATCTGTACTGATCAGTCAGCTTTATTAATGGACAGTGTAGAGTTATGTTTCTGTTAAAGCAAGCTCACATCTTAAACAAGAAAGAAAAGTGTGGGACATGTTTGTAAAAGTTTTCATTTTCATGTATAATCAGCTTGGATCAAAGGACAATAAAAACAAGTGTAAAATACTTTGAATATTACAAAACTTGGCCTATATCCCAGACAGTATTCTTGTGGAAGTGGTAATACCTCTCCCAGTGCTCTCTCTCTCAGAGCAGGAAGAGGGTCCTGGGGTGGGAATGACCATTCACTTCCTTTGTTTTGAAAGGGGATCACAGTACATAGAATAGTTTGCCTGTTCTTGCTAACTGAGGATTAATCAGACACCTTGCGCTGCAGGAGGCCTGTTGTCCAACATGGAATTTTGTGGGTGGATCTTATTACTACTGTCGCCTTTTGCTTAGAGAACAAAAGCCACAAGACTTTTTAAAGTATTGAAAAGTCTGTGAATAGTACTTGCCTATCCAGTGACAATATCTTAACCTGTCCCACAACTGAAGAGCTGCTGGTGAATGATTTCCTTCAAATCGGTTATGCATGGCAGAATTACTATGTATCAGAGGGATAGCCATATTAGTCTGGATTTGTAAAAGCAGCAAAGAATTCTGTGGCACCTTTATAAACTAACAGATGTATTAAGTTTATGCTCCAGTACGTCCGTTAGTCTATAAGGTGCCACAGGACTCTTTGCCAGAATTACTATGCAGTCTTAGTCTCTTGCCATAGAGGATAACAGCCCTCTACCATGCTTCCTGATTAGTATACTACTAGATTTGTACTATGCACTTTATGAACCTTGACTAGACAAGGAACTGCTATGAGACAATTGGCACCAGCTGCAGAGAAAATAAGATAGTACTCAAACAGGCTCTTTTCACAAAGAGGTAATTGTGGCACGAAATTGACTAGGATTATGGCCCTATTTTTCATCGGCTGCTGGCCTGATCCTGAAATGCAAGTGGCATAGAAGGGAGACAGAAGAGGAGGAGGAAGACAGAAACAGAAAGAGAAGACATACAAAGAGAAAAAGGAGAGTAGGGTGGAGAGAGGGGAAAATGGCTAGTGTGCTACATCTTTTCCAATGAGAATTTGTAGACCTCAAAGGCTTACACTTCAAGTGTTCATATCCACACAATACACCTGGAAACCCTTTAATATTTTCTTCCAATTTTGGTTTCTAAATTCTGGAAGATATTTGCCAATAGCTTCTTCTAAAATCCTGGAGAAACACTGCAGGAGCCTGACACATGACCTGGGTGTATTGGGAGTGGGTTGGGGACAGCCTATAGCTGTGTTACTGTGTGATGTGCCTATACATTCACTTTTTTTCTTGTAGATTTCTCAGATGCTCCTTGAAAAAAGGAAAATATAATGCAAATGTGTGTGGAGTAGTGTAAAATATTAAATTATACTCCATGTTACAAATACCATAAACCTTAATGCCTAAAGTAATATATAGGTAAGTGGCCTGATTTTTTTTTCCAGACATGTTGGTCACTGACCGCTCTGGATGCCCTGTATTAGAAATTGGGACATTTGTTCTGGTGTCTAAATATGGACCTAGCTGCTTAATTCTTTTCTAAAATGTGACTGAAAAGTCCCATTTAAATACTCAGGTTACTAGAACAATTTGCTTTTTCTAAGATTTCAGTTTTCATAAGGAAATGTAAGTTTTACATCATAATAGTAACCCTAATGATGTCCATGCGGTCTACCTTTTTAAATATAATGTACATACCCCGCTCCAGGCATCTGTTTGGGATCAAATGGAAATATTGGGAAAAGTAGGCATTCTTATACGAAAAATCTCATTCATTCATAATGCCCATCTTGTCACCTCATGAAGTAGCTGGGAGAGTATCTTTGAAAGCTAATAAATTCAAATTTATGACTGAAGTATGGGTCTGTGAGGCAAACGCGCGTGCTCTCTCTCTCTCTTTCCTGGTTCTGCAACCTCTCTGCATTTTCAGTTTCACCTGATTGCACTCCTATTCCTCTGCTGCCATTTTTCTTTGCATCTCTCTCTTTCGTTCCCTCCTCCTCTCTACTGCTTTGCACTTTTCTCACACTCTCACCTTTTAGTTCTCCAATCTCCCTTCTCCTGACTCCATCCTACTACCTTTTTCCTAATCCCAATACTCTTTGCCTCTACTCCCTTTACCAACCTCCTCTGTGGTAGGCTGTGGCACCAGTGAGCAGGCTACTCTTCTATTCCAGACCATCTCGAGGAAGGGCTTACAGGTATGTTTCCTTTAAGGTCTTTCCCCTTTCCTGCCCTCTCCCCACTCCCACATTTCTGCTACTGCTAATAACTTGAAGGGCCTAAGAAAAGGTTGTTTTTGGTATGCCTGGAGCATCATACTGAAACAACAAGCAATAAATAAAAGACAAGTCTTGGACACCTTCCTAAGAGGCATAAGACTGAAAATGTTATAAAGAAAAGTATATCTAAATTAAGTGATGCAGTTTTACCTTATGAAGCCTAACTTTCCCTTTCTTAAACATCAGTTTCTATGAGAAATGCAGTCAGGGGAAATGGATGGAATTATTCCAGCAGAGAAATTGACCTAAATGTTCAAGGACATTGATTCAAGGAAGATTTAGGAGAGATTCTTTTGGTAACTGTTCTTTTCAAGATTTAATTGCCTAAAGTTGTACTGGATGAACCCTGGTTCATTTCTGCTTTCAAAGGAAGTTCTGATTTTAGAGGGTGTGAAGACCTGTATCTGGTTAGATCTGTGTCCAAAATATAATTCTGTAAAACAGTGTCTTATTTAGTTGTGTATGACTTTTTCCCTGATACTCCTTTAGTACTAAGGAGCATGTGTCCAATTATATATTCTGTTCCCTGTGTGAGACTGGATTGTTTTTTGCATTTGTCGTGTGCTTACATGAACTCTTAAATGTATATTTAACGGAAACAAGAAATAGCAAGTAAAAATCCTGTATGCTAGATGACTGAGATTCACATAGCTATAAAATAGGACACTACATGTATCATGGTAGATATTGCCATATCTCATATGCATTGTAAAATGACTTCAATGAAGAAATGGCAGTATGTCTTCTGACACACCCTGGTGTCTTGTTCGTTCTGAAATGTATGTGGCAAACCAAACACAAGACAAGTCACACTTGTGGAGTTTATCTTTTACAAGAAGTTCTTTGCAAGCTGTGCGAGTTCTTCTGGCTGAACAAGGCAGCACAAAGTATCCAGTCAGCTTAGAAAGTGTTTTAGAAAATCCTCAGACGTCTGTATTGAAATGACTACTGAGCAAACAAAGTGGTTCACTTGTCCATAGCTTCCAGGAGACATCCAGTAGCACAACTTGTTTCCTTCTTGGTCTTTCTCTCACTTGGAAATAGCCAGAATTGATATAATTCCTTAACTTCCATCCTGCTTTGCCTCAGGCCAGGAGTACAGTATGGCATCCTGGAAGGACTACATTTTCTAGTAATCTTTCTCCTTGATCTCCTAGAGACTGTCTAGGAACTTCTGAGACAGCTTTGTCCCTCACTGACCAGCCTACTTTGTTCATGAACTCCTGTTGCTTTCCTCTGAAGACTTAAGAGCCGATATACAGTCCTTTATTTATTTGTATATTTTAATGTATTAAGTAACAATTTGGGATCAAAACATTTTAAAACCATTATATTTTATCATTATTCTAAATTACATAAAGCAAGAAATATTTGAAAATAATTAAAATGATCACAACCTTTTGTAGTATCCTGATTAAATAAAGGGGAAGGTAGAAATATGATCCCTTAAGCTGAGCCTAGTATAATCAAATGTGATATGAAAATGAACTGAAACCCTTACTGATCCTGAGCCAGACTTTAAGGCTTCAGTAGCCAGCATCTCTCATTTGGGCACTTAAATTAATGGTTAGATTTTTTTTTCCCTCAAAAGCTTTCTGCACCCAGAAGCTCCTGTTCTCATTGGGATTTTTTGGGTGCTGAGCACTTTTGAAAATCTGACCACTTAAATTAGGTACCTAGATGAGAGCTGAGTGTTTTTTCCAAAAAGCAAAACAACAATAAAAAATTAGTCCCAATTGTGGGTTCTGAACACTCCAGAAAATCTG